AAGTGTTCTCAAATTCCTAAAAAGCGCTACTTGTGGCGCATGTTGCTGCGTAGGTAGCAGGTCTGAAAACACCAACAAAATCAGCGAAGCGCTTGCCAAGGTGTACAGTTGGTACCAGGAAAACAACAACAAATCACTCAGGGTTGGTGTCGCCGCGTTCAGTTCAAATTTGGTAGAAAGATTGATGGGCTGTTAGTAGCATTGCTCAGTGACTTGTGATTTTGTCGGAATTTTTGGCACGGACTGTAGCAATCGAATTGTACACACAGATCAGTATAACACCACCACCCACCCCCGAGCCAAACTGCTTGCGTCATGCAATTTGTCTTACCACTGCGGTGTGTGCGGTAGAACGCGAGCCACGAAAGCGCTTGCATTTGAACATCAGTTCTGATGGCATTGATGTTCCTATCCAGGTTTGCACTGAGAAACGAAACTTTGAAGTCTTGCAGTTTCTTTTCCTCCTAAACTGTCTTTGAGACACTGCGAGACACATCCTTTGTATTTTTTTTTGTTAACTCAATATGGAAAAGAAAAAGGACCAACAAACTACGCCTATATGCCTTGTATTTTTCTTGTTTGCGTTCATGCAGTTCTTTCATTCACTTCATCACAAGTGTCTGCGCCATCGTTGGTGGACTCTTCACGGGTGAGTGACCACTACTACTATACAGCATGCAGCTTTTCTAGGCATCCCCTGCTCTCTCTCTCTCTCTCTCTCTCTCTCTCTCTCTCTCTCTCTCTCTCTCTCTCTCTCTCTCTCTCTCTCTCTCTCTCTCTCTCTAATTCTCTCTCTCTTTCTCTCTCTCTCTCTTTCTCTCGCTCGCTCTCGCTCTCTCTCTCTCTCTCTCTCTCTCTCTCTCTCTCTCTCTCTCTCTCTCTCTCTCTCTCTCTCTCTCTCTCTCTCTCTCGCTCTCTCTCTCCGCTCTCTCTCTCTCTCCTCTCTCTCTCTCTCGCTCTCTCGCTCTCTCTCTCTCTCTTTCTCTCGCTCTCGCTCTCGCTCTCTCGCTCTTCTCTCGCTCTCTCTCTCTCTCTCTCTCTCTCGCTCTCTCTCTCTCTCTCTCTCTCTCTCTCTCTCTCTCTCTCTCTCTCTCTCTCTCTCTCTCTCGCTCGCTCGCTCTCTCTTCTCTCTCTCTCTCTCTCTCTCTCTCTCTCTCTCTCTCCTCTCTCTCTCTCTCTCTCTCCTCTCCTCTCTCCTCTCTCTCTCTCTCTCTCTCTCTCTCTTCTCTCTCTCTCTCTCTCTCTCTCTCTCTCTCTCTCTCTCTCGCTCTCTCGCTCTCTCTCTCTCTCTCTCTCTCTCTCTCTCTCTCTCTCTCCTCTTCTCTCTCTCTCTCTCTCTCTCTCTCTCTCTCTCTCTCTCTCTCTCTCTCTCTCTCTCTCTCTCTCTCTCTCTCTCTCTCTCATCTCTCTCTCTCCTCTCTCTCTCTCTCTCTCTCTCTCTCTCTCTCTCTCTCTCTCTCTCTCTCTTTTTCCAACAGAGAGTTAGGTACCCAGTGATTCTTATACAGGCGTGCTGGCAGGTTTTCTGTCATGTATTTGTTGTCTATCTTCTTCTCCGGAAACAAACAATTTGTTGACTTTGTTTTTCGCATTCTAATGAGTTACTGTGCGCAAGAAATTTCGTTCAGTGGAACCAAAAAACACACTTCAATTGACACTGATTGGCCATCCTGTTCTTTGTAGTATGTACACTACGTGAAAATCCCACCAGAGCGCCCCTACCTCCGCGACCCTTCGAGTAGATCCCGGTGGGGAGGGGCGGATGGGCGAGTCCTACTTGCCGCTTTCAGTACCACATGAAAAGAGTACTCTTCCTACGAAAAATTGTGCGTGCGTCTCGTACACCGACCAAAGGTCAAGAGCAGGGAGTCGCACAGACGCATCAAAACCCAGGGTTTTTGTGCGATCCCTGGTCAAGAGGATAGGAACTGTTGCATACATTTCCAACGAGGTCCAGCACCTGTATGCAGTACAGTACGGCATCACACTTCACAGAGTCATACCAGGATTCACTGCCCTGGCAAGAAGTCAGGAAGGCACGCTCTGGCGGGATTTTACTGTAGTATTACGATAATAAATTATTATAATTACACAAAAGAAATTGGCACGGTGTGAGTCTCACCATCTTGGTTGCTCAGAGCTCAAATCACCAGAACTGGCAGGTCGAAACAAGTCACAACGTGTTTTATGTTCCCAGAGGAAGTGGAAGTATCTGACATAATTACACAAAGTATGCGCGTGGTGTGTTCATCGTGCCTTCCAAAATTCTCACATGCAACTTTCCTCTTCTTTTTGTAACCTGCTCCAGTGTCGAGCCTGGTGGACTCTCTCATCTACAACGCTCAGCGTGCACTGCAAAAGAAAATTGAGCTGGGCAAGGCATCATGACCTAACCACGAGAGCTACTTATGGATCTCGACAGCAGTACAGATAGCAGATCCGCAGCCCCGGGGGGTTTCCCCCCTGTGTTGTATCCTGTGCACCATGAGGTGAGGTGCGCTGCTGCGCTGGCAAAGAATATCCTTTGCGGCAACCAGCCTGCCTGCCTGCATGCTAGCCATGCCGGCATGTGTCCACTCTACTCTGCTCTCATCGTCCAGCCGTAGAACTGCCTCACACTGACTGCTCTGGCCCCCTCTTGACTGACTGCCCTGCTGATGAGGCCACTCGTCCGCTCATTTGAGAATCGGACTTACGCTTGCGACTGACATCAGGACTCTTTTTTCTTTTCTTTTCTCTCGCTTAGTATTGTGACCGCGATTTTGGTTTTAATGGCTTCGTGTATGCTTATTATTGTTTAGGTAGTATTTAAGGATGGCGAGTGCACCTCTTCAACAGCCAGCCATCGTCTTGCTCTCATCTGACAAACTTACCTCTAAGACTTCTGAATAGTATTAGTGTTTTAGATGAGTGTAATAAAATCAAGAGTGTTGATTGCGAGAGCATGGAACTTGTAGTAGCAGCAAACAAGCCTTGATTGTCCTTGTTCTGTAATATCAAGAGTACATACCCCCCCCCCCAGAGTGTGCAACTCCCACATCCCCTGCTGTCCCGAAAGAATTTCAAGTTGACGTCATTTTTTTATAATGCAATGGTCTTCGCATGAGTGAAGTAGTTGGGGGGTTATGTGCTCTTGATAATAATTATATTATCATGCTCGTCTTGCTCTCATCTGACCTCTGTCCGGGTAGCCCTTTCTCTGGGATGGGGATGGGGAGAGCCATTTCGGCATGCAGATAGCGTACACACGGCGCACTCGTGCATGCAGTGCAGGTAATTTTTGGAAGTTGCTAGTGTGTGGCAGTAGTTCCCGGTTATAAGTCGAATCCCGAATCCCGGTTGTAAGTCGACCCTCAACTTTTCTCCTTCCATTTTTAGTCGAAAAAGGTCGACTTATAACCGTAAAAATACGGTACACGTCTGCACATTCCTGATTAATTTACTGTATAATTATTATTTTTTGAAACGGTGTCAATGTGTGGAAACAATGTGCAGTCACAAAAGGAAAAAGAAGATGTAATAGTGAAAATAACAATGAGGAAACTACAGGGATGCGAACAAGTTCGCACAATACTCATCAGGAATTGCCAAGTCGCCGACCCACCGAGTTTCTGCAGGCACTCCCCAGGGATATCACCTTGGCCCCATTCTTTTCATTCTCTACATTAATGCCCTTCCTCGCACCATGTCGTCTGAGGTCACTACTGATGTGCTCTTATTTGCCGATGACACTACTCTTGGGAGAGCAGCCAGAGGACCTAACCAACAACAAATGGTCCACCCCTCCAGGCCGCCACTGATGGCGTTCTGCAGTGGGCTGATTCAGTCGGAGGGTTCTTCAACCCTTCGAAGTCCTGCACCATGCAGTTCTCTCCTAGAAGTCGTGCAGAACGTGCCCACCCTACTCATCCGACTCCGCACCTGAGAATGCAGGGAGATGACGTGTCTGATGTAACGAGTACTATACATGTAGTACTAACGACTCACCGACATCTTGGAGTCATCTTGGACTCTAACCTCGACTTCACCAGCCATGTCGCCACCATCACGACAAAGTTCCGCCAGCGAGTGGTCCTGCTGATCCACATGACCAAGCGTATCACCCCAGCCGTAGCCAGCCGCTTGTACACTAGATATGTTCGACCTGTGGTTGAATACGCTTCATCCCTCTGGCAATTTCAACTCTCCAGTGCTCAGGCTACTACCCTTGAACGGCTACAGGCAAGAGTGGCGCGTGTGATCCTGCGGCATTATGGCGTGTACCCTCCTCAAACGGAGCCGAAAGCCTCACTTTTCGCGCACCTCCAGTGGCCCAGCCTCGCATGGCGAAGACACATTCAGTGCCTTCTTGAACTCCACCACCTTATCAATAGCCAGATGACGACCCTGGAGGACCTAGGCTACTCAGTGTCAAACAGCGCCAGGCGCCCCCAACATCTACTCCCACCTTTCTCTTTGTCACCACTGCCACATGGAACTCCCTCCCGGCTGCCATTCGTACTGTATCCAGCCCAAACTGTTTTACCGCTCTTGTCCGCACACACTTCTTTGCTATCACCCGTTATGAGCCCTCTGGTTTCATTCCACGGAGAGTAGCGATGTCATAGAGCACTGTGTTATTATTACTACCACCCCGCATCATTCTATTTCCTATTTTTATTTTTCTCCTCAGCAACGGTTGTTATCACCCGCTAGGTGTACGTTCTCTCACTTTCATCATTTCTTCCGTACAAATCACATGACTGTACATATTGTTCCGTACAAATCACATGACTGTACCTTTCAGTGACTGTCACTGGTCACTGTTGTTGCTCCTTGGTTGTTTTGGATTCTCCACAGGCCTTAGCCTAAATCGAGGGAGTCTCCGTCAACAGCTTATGGAGAAGAAGCTGAGGAGAAAAAGTGATGACTGATAACAGCTGTTTGTTCAGGTACTTTGTGGCGTGCTGGTCTAGTCTAGATGTGTACTCCCAGTTGACATGCCCCCTTTCGAACCCAAACAATATTTTCGGGATTGGTCTATTTTCCGCCTTGACGCTATAATTTTTCTTCTGCTTTTCTCTTCTTTCTTTGTTCCTCTCTCTCTCTTACCAATTTTCCCATCCCACGTATTTCATCACTCAAGCGAAAACAGGAAACCCCCTCAACAGGCAAACCGCCTTTGGGGAATCCTTAATTAGGAAGGCCGTCTTGGATCAAGGCCAAAGCGTAGAAGAAGAAAAACTTAAACAGTAGTGAGCACGTTGTCTGAAACAATCCACTGAGACTGAGGTTGAATTGCAACGTCAAGTCTCCGGACGAAGCTGGACGGGTTCAGATGCACGATTTTCGGAACTGGACCTAGCCAGCTTCATGCGTGACACCGTTGTCGACCAGCAATTATGCTTGTAAATGTAATGCCAATTTTGCATGCTTAATGATGTTATAATGCCAGCATTATGCCACCTGGAAAAAGGGACTATAATGCCAGCCCTAATGCTAGCATTACCCGCCCATGTCTACTTTGAGTAGTTGTGCTCCTACCTCCCAAAGGATGCCAAACCATGCTCCACATTTTCAAACACCAAATTATGCCAAAAATTATGCCGGCATACAGTCAACTTCGCCAATAACGACATTCGGCGGGGCATCAGAAAAGTGTCCTTATTCGCGAAGTGTCCTTATAACCGAAGTCCCATTTGAATGTATGTGAACCCATATTTTGTATAGTATGACACGCATATCAAAATCAAGCTCTTTTCTTGCTCTATGTCAATGTGTACTTTATTTTCATAATATTATTGCAGTTGAAAGGAACTAAAAATTCAATATGCAAGGGAAATCAATTGAAAAATATGCCTTTTTGAGCCACCTACAGGGCCAGAGACATGTACATGTATGATGATTACTGTACAATCATGTACAACTACATGTACAATGTATACATACATGTATAGGTGTGCTGGTAAATCCAACAATTTTGAAGCCAACATAAAAAAGGAAGAAAAAGCCCCCCCCCCCCCTTTGGCTGCATTTTCTTGCATGTGTGCCTTTATAATATTAAGGGGTCGTCCACAAATATCGATGTTTTTTTAGAGAAGATATTCGTTCGTTTGGGGGGGGGGGGGGGAGGGGGTTTGGGCCCTGTTCGTCTGGTCTGGAGAAAAAATGTCGAACTCTATCTATCATCATCTATGGACGGGCGCTGTTCGAACATGTAGTTTATGACCTACACAAAGTGAAAGTCAACCTCGTGAGGATAGCCATGGCAAGGTTGTGCGACCGTGGCAACGTAAACCTAGGTGTATGGTGACATTAGAGTGGCAGCTGGTCACGTTTCATGAGGAAATTGAACTTCATTAAAAAATATCGATCCCTTGCATTAACATGTGTATGTTCGTTTTGAGGGGGGAGGGAGGGGGTCTGGGGAGAAATGAACAAATATCGTCTTGAAAAAAACATCGATATTTACGGACGGCCCCTAATATCCATCACCATAGGTTCTGGTGCATGGCAGGTACATGTACATGTACATGTACATGTACTTGACTGACAGGTACTTGAAATAGCTGTCAAAAGCCCAGAAAGTCGTTATTCAAGCAGTGAATATGACCTCGGGGCACTAAAAGCATGTCGCTATACGCGAATTGTCGTTATTCAGATAGTCGTTATATCCGAAGTTAAATGTATACATTAGATGGGACTTTGCTCTGGGCATGGAAATTCGGTCGTTATTCGCGAATTGTCGTTATATCCGCAGTCGTTATTAGCGAAGTTGACTGTAATCCGCCGGAGCCTAGTTGTGCTGCGTCACAGTGTTGTCTATTTCCGCTCCGTTTTTGGTTATTTTGGCATCATTATGCTTCAGTGAGAACTTGCTCATTTTGAGTTGCGATATTAGCAACTTTTGAGCTTTTCTGAAAATATGGATGCGATTTCAGCAAATTTCACTTGTTTTGGCATGGTTGCGAAAAGCATAAGTAGCGAAACATTTTTGGCATCTTTGGGAAAGGGCTAGTTAACTAGTTGCGGAGCCGTAACTCGTAAGCATCGAGTACATTGTGAACGGATTCACAAGATACAGTAGCTCTCAACGGCTTCGACAGAAAGAAATTCATCTTGGAAGATGGTGTTCCGACACGCTTGCCTTTGGACATAAACACATGGCTGTACATAATCATTCATGATTTTCATCGAGATGTTTATGTGAAGGTGAGCGCACACGCACACACACACATGCGCGCACACACACACACAGGCGCGCGCGCGCACGCACTGTGACTTTGTTTGAGTGCCTGACACGACCATGCACTGCAGACTGCATCTGCTTCAACAAGCACAAGTCACTGAGTGTTGAAGTGACGCCAGCAACAGTCAACATCTGTCTCTTCTGCTGCGCATGGTACATGGTGTCAACTAACTAATTACTCGAACGGAGTCAGACATTGTGCCAGGAAATGCCCGTGTTGCACGCGTTCCGGGCACAGTGCGTACATTACTGTTTACTTGTCACCCGCACGGTGGCTATACACGTGCAGTCATGTAATACAGCAGTATCATTATGATTGTAGTAAGGTCGTATTATAATTTATAGCAGACTTAGCGGAGGACGTTCAGTAAGGCCGTATACATGTACAGTGTATAAGGCGGTCCCAGCGGACCACGTACTTTGAAGCATGTACTATGTAGCACCAGGCACGGAGTCAATGACGATTAGCACAGAAAGGCTATGTCAACCGACATGCTATAGTATGGCCTCCTGATAGAACTCCTGTCTACCCGGAAGGGCATGCAACCATCTTTCTCTTGGTAGGGCCCCAGTCGGCAGCGTGTCCCTGAGGGCTTCTACTATTTACGTACATGTACAGTCATGTACTATGTCTATGGAATATGGTCATTGTAGATAGATGCCCTCAGGCATGTACTATGGTCATTGTAGAACTGATAGATGCCCTCCGCCATGTACGCAATGATCAGCAGCTCTATCACGCACTGCATGGGACTGGGCTAGCTTAGATGCAGGTGTCCAGTTTATATAACCCAACGTTCAACGGATAATGCGGCAAGCATCAATCATATGCATCATCACAACGCAGCGACACCTATTCTCACCCGCACCGTGCACGAACCCATCCATCCACATCGTCCCGACCATGCGCAAGCAGAGGCCCCGAGAGGACAACGTTTCTTTCATTCCACGAGGAACTAACTTGAAGAAGGAGCTCCGGAGCACCGCGTTCTTCTTGCGTATGCTTTGCGCGGCAAGTACCCCTTGGCCCCCTGTAATAATTCGAAGTAGGTGAGGTGCACCACCAGGCCAGTCACGGACTGATATTCCACGCGGTATCCTATACCAGCATTTCCATCATGAAAGGCTACCAATACTACTAGTCAAACGTGTTCCAGTGGGACGCGTCGTGTCGGCTATGGCCCGATCTGAAGGCGATTTACTGCGAGATCTCGGACTCAGTGCTTCCGACATTGTTTATCTGGGTGAGATCGCAGTGAACGATGACGATGAAATCGGCCGCGGTGCCGATGCTGTCGTGTATCGTATTGAGTGGCAAGGCATACCCGTAGCTGTGAAAGTTGTCCACCACCTACTTGTGCAACCGGGTATCCAAGGAAGACGTGAGAAGCTGCGCAGGTTCGGCGCGGAAATCGCCAATCTCTCGCGGCTGCACCATCCGAATTTGTGCCAGCTTCTTGGAGTTGGAGTGACCAGCGACCGCGGTTTACCCGCCCTGGTCGTCGAGCTACTGGATGCTACCCTGTTGCAGTGCTGTGTGGGTGAGAGCAGACAGGATGACGTAACGTGTTTGTCCTACCTAGCGGACGCGATAGCTGGTGTGCGGTACCTGCACAGTCGGAGCGTTATCCATCGAGATTTGACCCTGAAGAACATATTGGTGAAGAGCCGCACGGCGAAAGTTTGTGATTTCGGAGTTGCTCGAGTGCTGCAGCCGGCCGGCAGTAGTTTCTTCCAGCAATTGCAGGAGGCCGCCAACCTGACGACATGTCCCGGTACATTATTGTACATGGCACCCGAGGCGCTGGCGGAGAATGCATCTTACGACACCTCTCTCGACGTATTTTCGTTCGGAGTACTGGCACTCGGCGTGCTCACTGGATTTGAACCTTCGAAACAGTTGTTGTTCCTTCCGAGGATCAGGGCCATGGAGAAAACGGACGGAGCAAGGCAGGAGGAAGTGATCACAGAGGTCGAGCGTCGTCGCATGGATTTGGACCGGCTGCAGGACAGCCATCCGCTGAAAGCCACGATCGTCCGCTGCCTGTCGAACGTGCCGGAGGAGAGGCCAACAGCAGAGCAGCTGCACCGAACGATCAAGGATGTGGCAAGACTGGCAAGCGGTTTGAACCAGGTTAGGGAAAATACGCGTTGGTCGGCCCACTCACTGCATGTACAGAGGAATCTGCGATTCGCCTTCTCGAGATCTCTCACACCCCCATGTCAGGCAAACCACCAATAATTGCCTTAGCGTTAGGGAAAGGACTGTTCCCCCCCCCCCCCCCCCCCGAGTTGATCTACACTGGACAAGAAAACAGCCACGGGCAATGACAAAAATGTTTTCACGGCTCGCGTGGGACTCGGTTGGAAGCCGAATTTTCCGCATCCGTAGGAACGCCACCATCCTCTAGGATGAAGGTGCAGATGCAGTTCCTAAGCGGTGGGAGGTGAGTAGATCAGACCCACCACAAAGTGGTCAAAGACCGAAATCCCTTTAACTGCATCCATGTTTCACTCGTGCCAGGCTACGAGTTCCCAATCAACTGTGGTTCGCAGCACGGCTGGAAAAAAATATGTTCGCTTCCAAGCAGGACTTGAACCTGGTACCCTCTGTTTCTCAATCATGCTCTTAGACTGTCCCACTGTGCTTGCCTGCTGACAAGAAAGCAAAGAACTATTGCTGGCATCAGGCACTCACTCGCATATGCTGGCAGGAGCAGTTTGACGTGACCAAGAAATGATGAGCTGATTGGTTTGGGTTTGAGTAGCACTGGTGTTGAAATATGGTGGCCATTACCACGCTTTTAAAATGCTTAGTTTGCCCTTGGTCTTTGCCTGTCCTCTCTCTCTCGTGCCTGCATGCAATACATAGGGTAGGAGTACTGGCTTGTTGCAGAGGGTAAACCACATGGAGAGCATGCTGCTGAGCCTAGAGAGCCACGCCGCTGGGCAGATGGCAGGGCAGAACGAGCTGCTGGCCCGTCTGGCGACCACTGAGCAGCAGCTGAATGCGATCACGACACAACTGAGAGCCGTCAGCAATCGCACAGTGCTGGCAGAGGACCAGCTGGCGGCGCTGGTGAAAACTACTACGGAGACAGACAAGAAGGTACACGATGGTTGTACTGTAATGGAATTTCTCACGGTGCAGGGCCAACGCAAGCACCATGCACGGTGCAGGGCCAACGCAAGCACCATGCACGGTGCAGGGCCAACGCAAGCACCATGCACGGTGCAGGGCCAACGCAAGCACCATGCACGGTGCAGGGGCAACGCAAGCACCATGCACGGTGCAGGGGCAACGCAAGCACCATGCACGGTGCAGGGCCAACGCAAGCACCATGCACGGTGCAGGGGCAACGCAAGCACCATGCACGGTGCAGGGGCAACGCAAGCACCATGCACGGTGCAGGGGCAACGCAAGCACCATGCACGGTGCAGGGGCAACGCAAGCACCATGCACGGTGCAGGGGCAACGCAAGCACCATGCACGGTGCAGGGGCAACGCAAGCACCATGCACGGTGCAGGGGCAACGCAAGCACCATGCACGGTGCAGGGGCAACGCAAGCACCATGCACGGTGCAGGGGCAACGCAAGCACCATGCACGGTGCAGGGCCAACGCAAGCACCATGCACGGTGCAGGGCCAACGCAAGCACCATGCACGGTGCAGGGCCAACGCAAGCACCATGCACGGTGCAGGGCCAACGCAAGCACCATGCACGGTGCAGGGGCAACGCAAGCACCATGCACGGTGCAGGGGCAACGCAAGCACCATGCACGGTGCAGGGCCAACGCAAGCACCATGCACGGTGCAGGGGCAACGCAAGCACCATGCACGGTGCAGGGGCAACGCAAGCACCATGCACGGTGCAGGGGCAACGCAAGCACCATGCACGGTGCAGGGGCAACGCAAGCACCATGCACGGTGCAGGGGCAACGCAAGCACCATGCACGGTGCAGGGGCAACGCAAGCACCATGCACGGTGCAGGGGCAACGCAAGCACCATGCACGGTGCAGGGGCAACGCAAGCACCATGCACGGTGCAGGGGCAACGCAAGCACCATGCACGGTGCAGGGGCAACGCAAGCACCATGCACGGTGCAGGGGCAACGCAAGCACCATGCACGGTGCAGGGCCAACGCAAGCACCATGCACGGTGCAGGGGCAACGCAAGCACCATGCACGGTGCAGGGGCAACGCAAGCACCATGCACGGTGCAGGGGCAACGCAAGCACCATGCACGGTGCAGGGGCAACGCAAGCACCATGCACGGTGCAGGGGCAACGCAAGCACCATGCACGGTGCAGGGGCAACGCAAGCACCATGCACGGTGCAGGGGCAACGCAAGCACCATGCACGGTGCAGGGGCAACGCAAGCACCATGCACGGTGCAGGGGCAACGCAAGCACCATGCACGGTGCAGGGGCAACGCAAGCACCATGCACGGTGCAGGGGCAACGCAAGCACCATGCACGGTGCAGGGGCAACGCAAGCACCATGCACGGTGCAGGGGCAACGCAAGCACCATGCACGGTGCAGGGGCAACGCAAGCACCATGCACGGTGCAGGGGCAACGCAAGCACCATGCACGGTGCAGGGGCAACGCAAGCACCATGCACGGTGCAGGGGCAACGCAAGCACCATGCACGGTGCAGGGGCAACGCAAGCACCATGCACGGTGCAGGGGCAACGCAAGCACCATGCACGGTGCAGGGGCAACGCAAGCACCATGCACGGTGCAGGGGCAACGCAAGCACCATGCACGGTGCAGGGGCAACGCAAGCACCATGCACGGTGCAGGGGCAACGCAAGCACCATGCACGGTGCAGGGGCAACGCAAGCACCATGCACGGTGCAGGGGCAACGCAAGCACCATGCACGGTGCAGGGGCAACGCAAGCACCATGCACGGTGCAGGGGCAACGCAAGCACCATGCACGGTGCAGGGGCAACGCAAGCACCATGCACGGTGCAGGGGCAACGCAAGCACCATGCACGGTGCAGGGGCAACGCAAGCACCATGCACGGTGCAGGGGCAACGCAAGCACCATGCACGGTGCAGGGGCAACGCAAGCACCATGCACGGTGCAGGGGCAACGCAAGCACCATGCACGGTGCAGGGGCAACGCAAGCACCATGCACGGTGCAGGGGCAACGCAAGCACCATGCACGGTGCAGGGGCAACGCAAGCACCATGCACGGTGCAGGGGCAACGCAAGCACCATGCACGGTGCAGGGGCAACGCAAGCACCATGCACGGTGCAGGGGCAACGCAAGCACCATGCACGGTGCAGGGGCAACGCAAGCACCATGCACGGTGCAGGGGCAACGCAAGCACCATGCACGGTGCAGGGGCAACGCAAGCACCATGCACGGTGCAGGGGCAACGCAAGCACCATGCACGGTGCAGGGGCAACGCAAGCACCATGCACGGTGCAGGGGCAACGCAAGCACCATGCACGGTGCAGGGCCAACGCAAGCACCATGCACGGTGCAGGGGCAACGCAAGCACCATGCACGGTGCAGGGGCAACGCAAGCACCATGCACGGTGCAGGGGCAACGCAAGCACCATGCACGGTGCAGGGGCAACGCAAGCACCATGCACGGTGCAGGGGCAACGCAAGCACCATGCACGGTGCAGGGGCAACGCAAGCACCATGCACGGTGCAGGGGCAACGCAAGCACCATGCACGGTGCAGGGGCAACGCAAGCACCATGCACGGTGCAGGGGCAACGCAAGCACCATGCACGGTGCAGGGGCAACGCAAGCACCATGCACGGTGCAGGGGCAACGCAAGCACCATGCACGGTGCAGGGGCAACGCAAGCACCATGCACGGTGCAGGGGCAACGCAAGCACCATGCACGGTGCAGGGGCAACGCAAGCACCATGCACGGTGCAGGGGCAACGCAAGCACCATGCACGGTGCAGGGGCAACGCAAGCACCATGCACGGTGCAGGGGCAACGCAAGCACCATGCACGGTGCAGGGGCAACGCAAGCACCATGCACGGTGCAGGGGCAACGCAAGCACCATGCACGGTGCAGGGGCAACGCAAGCACCATGCACGGTGCAGGGGCAACGCAAGCACCATGCACGGTGCAGGGGCAACGCAAGCACCATGCACGGTGCAGGGGCAACGCAAGCACCATGCACGGTGCAGGGGCAACGCAAGCACCATGCACGGTGCAGGGGCAACGCAAGCACCATGCACGGTGCAGGGGCAACGCAAGCACCATGCACGGTGCAGGGGCAACGCAAGCACCATGCACGGTGCAGGGGCAACGCAAGCACCATGCACGGTGCAGGGGCAACGCAAGCACCATGCACGGTGCAGGGGCAACGCAAGCACCATGCACGGTGCAGGGGCAACGCAAGCACCATGCACGGTGCAGGGGCAACGCAAGCACCATGCACGGTGCAGGGGCAACGCAAGCACCATGCACGGTGCAGGGGCAACGCAAGCACTGGCCATGCATCAACGAAGTCAAAGGGTTGCCGGAAATCGATTTTCATGTCACTTCCGTCAGTGGAATAATATTGTGACTGAAGTGAAGGCACACCAATAGTGCATGAGTGTATTGAAATCTATGTTGGCAACCCTTTGACTCCATTCATGGTGGTGATGAAGGCAGAGTTAGTTCTATTAATTGCTATATTTAAATAGAATTGTTGCCTCCGCGTCGTTTATTTAGATACCCGGAAGGATAATTCAAGATAAAAAAAATGCAAGTACCTGCCAGCAGAGGATGCAGTTGCGGGATGTCTGAATAACTTCTACTGGACCACATCTTCTTTCTTTTTCTTTTTTTTCTAATCCGCCGATTAAAGGAATAAAACCAGCTGCAGGCTCTTTACAAAGTTTCCAAGAGCACTTCCATTGCCTTTTCTTCAGGCGAATATAGGCAGAAGAAGAAGAAACAAACCCGTACGATGATTGATTAGCGAGAAGAACACGTTGGGAAAGGATGGTATAAAGTGACGATTCTCAAGCACATGGATATGTAGCCTGGCCTCAGTGGGCCAGGCAGCAGACAAGGAGAATCATCAGATCAAACTCACGAGAAGGTCACAGTTCAGTTGTAGATCAGATGTAGACTCAGAATCAGACTGAATCAGAAGAGGATGGACTGATGTGTGAAAGCCCTACTTATACCTGGCCAGAGTGCTCTCTGGCCAATCAGAAGCCATGCATGTGACTACCATGACTACAGGTGTGGTTCAACTGCACCAACTAGGAAATGCAGTAAGTCATGCATGATGTCAAGTAACAGATGCCTGCTAAAAAGTATGAAAGCAAGAAAAAGAATAAAGCTTTACAACAAGGTGGCTCGAACCTAAACTACATGATCTACTGTTCCCAAACCACTGGCATCCCTTCATACAAGGTACAATGAATGAGGCATGCCCAAATGCAATATGCACTGTGTTACAGAAACATAGCACATCCTACAGTCATGCACCAGTGATATTATGCATGAAGAGGTGTGTGATCACTGCGATATCTATTGTGATAACAACTAACGACGGATGAACAGAAGTAACGGTGTGTGGATGTCCTACCCAACAGCCTGTGAGAGTGAGTATGTTCTGCTCCCATACATATTCAGTTCAGTACATTCGTCATCTACTGTTATCACAATAAATGTACACACAGCCTCACACGGTTTCTTCAACTCTGCACACGTACATCATGAGTGCATCAGTAACCGTAGGATGTGTTATGTTCCGATGGGAGTGAAAGTCGTCACTTTACAAGATCAAGTGTTGTTCTTGTTAGCTCCCGGCTAAACGCAGTCCCCTCACTCTCAGAACACAGGGTTTTGTAGGACTGAATATTATATTGAAGACGTATTTAGACAAGAGAGAAGGACAAGAGTGAGAAGGATAGAGAATAGAGAACCACTGGATCATGTGCTCTTCTGTACTTCAACTCGAATGGTGTCCTTCTCCTTCTTCTGTACTTGATGGGATCTCACGCTAATCTACCTACTGTAACTTTTACAAAGGTCAAAAAGAATGGTTCCACCAATTATATTATACATACGTTGTAACGCTGCGTTTCATGCACGTAGCTAAATGCTAAGGCAATCATCAGACAACTAATGCTTTTGTCGCGGGATAGCTTGTTCTTATTGTGGGGGATACGCATGGGCATGTAGAGGAGGTGTGAGTTATCAATGCAGGGCATGCATGGGAAGAGCGAGTGATAAGAATTACATCACTGGATGGGCATGCGCAGTAGGCGCGAACTATGCATGGAGCGTGCAGACGCGGAGAAACCACCAGGCAGGACAAGGGTAAGCCATGGGGGCACTGGGCAGGGGGTGTGATGTGTGGCGGTGGAAGCACACTGTGGTGTCCACATTCAACAGCCGTGGGTATTCAGAGGATGTGGCGGTGATAGTGGTAGCCCGCGGTGGCTATGTCACGGCAGAGTAGGTGGAGAGGTAGAACTTGTTTTGGTGTCTGCACTTTGATACCAACTCCGACCTCTTGTTGAGCATAGTGTGAGGCGTCTTGAAGGTGATGATGCGCAACTTTTCTGCTAAACACAAGCAGCACCTTTTGGATATGTTGCTGTAGGACTTGACCCGATCTATGACTGCCCATTTGATACTGTATTCCTCACCTTGGTCAGCCAGCGACCATGTGTGCTTGGATAGATCGGTCTTGGAACGGTACTTTTCATGCCGCATACTGGTTAGATGGTTGCCATAGCGCACCTTGAAGGGCGTCTCGCACAGGCCGATGTATTGCCTTTCCTCGCGGTACTTGGGGTTGTGACGGAGGCCTGGTACACCACTTCCCCCTCCAAGCATCCGCCGCCCAAAGGGCATGATGGCTTGGCTCGGCAGTTGCACCCTGCCGCAGATCTCTCTTCACCAGGCGTTAGTACCTTTTGGTTATGTCCCTTCATCAGGTAGGACATGTTGGGCATGCAGGAGTAGCTCAACTTCAATGTGTTTCTGTTGAAGATCTTGTGTAGTGGCGACGCGGCAGGGAAATGTTTGCTGACTAGTTTGAAAAACCTCTGACCGATAGTGGTGGATACAGATTTGCTGTATGGTGGGTTGTACCATGTTATGTTTCTCCTCCGCTTGTTCTTCTTCTTGGTAGGCCCACCGCCGTTGAACACCATGGCCCCTGGAAATCCGCTGGCAGATAGCGCAGCTCTGTATGAGGGTGCCGCGTTGGTGAATGCCTCCTCGTCGCACGAGATGTCGGACACCCGCCTATTGATCATTGCAAGTAGATTCCGGAGTATATTGGGCGGGTGATTCGACTTGGTGTGTATGTATCTGGGTGCGTCATGCGGTTTGCGGTATGGGTGGTAGCGGCCGCTGGCTAGATCAAAGGTGATGTTGAGGAAGTCCACTGTCCTCTGGTTGGTACTGATGGTTATTCGTAGGCCAACGTCTTTGAATAGCTTCGTGATTGCCTTGCGGATGGAGTCTGCCGCGTGTCCTGTAGTAGTCCTGAGCACGGCCAGTCCGTCGTCGCGGTACAGCCCGACACTAGCCGGATCATACATATCCGCGAGTCGTTTGATCAGGAACGCTCCCACTAGTTGACACACCACTGCCCCATCAAAACTTCCCATCGTCACATCAAATAGGCTCTGCCTGTCTTTCTTGGCCCACACCTTGCCATTGGCAAATAGCAGCGACTTTCGTGCGTGGAGAATTACGTCGATGTCGCACTGGGGAATGGGAGTGAATTGGGCGGCGAACTCGAGAGCCGTTTTGAGTAGCTGCTCCGAGATGGACGGGTAAAACTCGACTATGTCGAAGCTGACAAACGAGTAATGCTCCTTGTCCTGTATTCCCTTGAACCACTGGATCACCTCGGCAGAGTTTTTCCACAGGTTGGTCTTGGTGTGGCTCTGAACTGCCCGGATGATGCGGTCGAGAATCGCCTTGCTGATGACGCCAACCTCTGTAACTTTTATCACACCTATCCGTTATTAAACAGTTATTGTACTGGTTTTTTCTTCTTCTTCCTCTTCCTGTATCTACCTGAAGAGAAAGGGATGAAAGTGCTGGTGGAAACTTTGCAATGTTGATAGTGAAAAAAGCCTGACGCTTGTTCTAGTCCGGAGTCTCAGGGCATGATCGATTGGGCGAATCCCGAACAAGTGCGCTCCGAGTGAGTGTGATCAATTGGTCGAAACCGGAGTAGGTATACTTGGAGTGGAATCCAACCACACCGCCCCCCCCCCCCCACACCGGGAGTGGCTGGAGTGGAAATGGATTTTGGCGTTTTTTACAGCTTTCACAGAATCTTTGTACGATATGCGTACATTTCGCGTACTACACCCTTGTTTTGTTCGATTGGGTGAGCGTTGCTCGGACCACACCGCCTGCTCGCACTCAATCCAGATTCGCCAATCGATGACACCCTCAGCATCGCCATGTTTTAAATGTTTGTTGTTTGTTTTGTTTTTTTGCTTGTTTGTGTTATTGATTTGTTTTGTTGATTGATTTGTCTTATCGATTACTCGATCACTGACTTGAATTTCTGTCTTTGCTGTTAGGTGTCGGCTATTGCAGCACACCTCGCGACCATGAACCACTATGCTTGCTCCAGTTCTCCAAGCATCGCAGCTGACGGCAGCTCGAGCCCAAGTCTTGCGACAATGGACGAAAGCCGACTTGAGTCGAGCACAGCCAGCATGGAGCACAGCGCATCGTCACAGGAGCAGCAAGACGGCAACCCGTCAGCGCAGCAGAAGAAGTGGTTCAGACGCATTCTACTACGCCCCAAGAGTAGCGATGTTACAGTCGCCAGCCAGCAGGTAATCTCCATCGGTACACATGCAAGCATGAACACACCAACACACCAACACACACACCAACACACACACACACACACACACACACACACACACACACACACACACACACACACACACACACACACACACACACTTGAAGTCTGAACAACCACCACATTGCCATAATATTTTTCTCAGTTTTTAGATGTGCATCTTTATGCATAGTGCACGCGGTTGTGCACAATGTTAGCCGACTGAGCTCAGCTGGCCTTGTCGAAATACCCGCATGTACATGGAGTAATGTTGCTCTCCGGCTGCTGTTTGTGTGTGTGTGTGTGTGTGTGTATGTGTGTGTGTGTGTGTGTGTGTGTGTGTATGTGTGTGTGTGTGTGTGTGTGTGCGTACGTGTGTGCATGTGTGGTTGTATTATGTAATTTTCCTCTCGTTGTTCAGGAAGCATCCAGTTCAGGCGCCGCTACTGGTGACAGTGACTTGGACCGGACTGGATCTCTGTCAAGGGTAAGAGTAATAGGGCGTTCACAGTAGCTGTCAGACCTCGCTTATCCGGTCCTCTTTTATCCGGATCCCTCGCTATCCGGCAGAAAATCGTTGGTTACCGATTTACAGCATATGCCATGCGTACATGCAGTATGTGTGTTCGATTATCCGGTTCCCTCGCCTATCCGTATATTTTTGTGGAAAACGGATGTGTGTGGTTTTGAGCGAGGTCTGATTGTACAGGTAATGCATCTTTCACAACACAAGTCATAGATCTTTCACAGCACAGACTTTCACAGCACAAGTAATAGATCTTTCACAGTACATATACAGGCAATAGGGTTTTCACAGCACAGGTAATAATACATCTTTCACAGTACGGGTAACAGATCTTTCACTACTGCTGCTCTTCAGCGCCGCGTTTGCTGGTACTCGAGATTGCTCTATGTGACACGCCATGACTATCCTCACTGAGCATAGTCCGATTACTATTATGATCCTAAAGCAGAGTAGAGTGTGACTGAGGGTGATTGAATGTCTTATGTCTGCCACACAAGTCTTGTGCTCAAAGTCTCTATACCGTCTGCAGGCTTCTGGATATGCATACTTTAGGGTACCTCAACTCAAACTCTCACAATACGGTCTCTTTGCTGCATACGTTGTTTTGTTCTATTTCCACCTTGATGATGGGCCATGGCTGAAAACTCTTACTTTACTTGGTGAACAGTTTAAATGACGTGTGCAGCAAGGAAACCGTAGTGAGTTGAGGTACCCTAATGTGTAGATGGCTGCACTGGAGTCTCTGTCCCCGGGGAAAATTGCGGAAAAAAATGCGGGGAAAACGCGGCATAATATGGCATAATTTGCGGTGAATTTGCGGTAAATATGCGGTAAATATGCAGTGAATAATATTGATGTGCGGCAATTTTCAGTGAGTATGTAGTGAAATCAATCAGTTACAAGTCTCTGGTGTAAGCACTCGTCATATTTGAGTAAAAAGCCGCCACGATGAGACGTTGCTGACCGAAAGTGCACTGTATGTACGTGTAGTGCAACAAAAAAGTTCAAAAACGCGGGAAAATCGCGGAAAACGCGGTCTTTTAAAAAATCGCAAAAACGCGGAAAAAAACGCGGCCGCGGAATCGCAATTTTCCCCGGGGACAGGAGTCTGTGAGTGATTAGAAAGGGTATGCATCATGGCTAGTACTGCAAAGACTGCAGACTGCAAGAGAGTGTCTTGTTTGCTGTTGGCCTGTCGGTGAATTGCATGTTTTCTACTTGCACACATGTACATGCAATAGTAAACACGGGGGGCCACTTGACAAGGACGATGACTGGGAAGTTCAAACACTATTGTTGTCCTGTGCTCTTTATTTTGGTTTCGGTGCATCTGGTCATTCTGGTACAGTTCTTCACAAGCACTGTTAGTCCTGACCCTTGCGCTGGCGGCGGCGCTGGCCGAGGAACACAGCTGCTCAGTGCGTACTCTGCTGATCAGTTGCCACGGCGAATACAGAAGATCCGAAAGAAGCGCAAGGTAAGACTGGCAGTGGTGATGATTGACTGCTCGTGCTAGCTCTTGTTTGCTCTTTCAACTCCTTATTCTGACGATAAAGATGTGAAACAACCAACAACAGGCATTGCTGTAGTCAGTGTCGCTGCTACTGCCGTTCCTGCTGATGTTGCTGCTACTGTAGATACTGCGGCGCTTATTGTTGTTGTTGCTGTTGTTGCTGTTGTTGTTGTTGTTGTTGTTGTTGTTGTTGTTGTTGTTGTTGTTGTTGTTGTTGTTGTTGTTGTTGTTGTTGTTGTTGTTGTTGTTGTTGTTGTTGTTGTTGTTGTTGTTGTTGTTGTTGTTGTTGTTGTTGTTGTTGTTGTTGTTGTTGTTGTTGTTGTTGTTGTTGTTGTTGTTGTTGTTGTTGTTGTTGTTGTTGTTGTTGTTGTTGTTGTTGTTGTTGTTGTTGTTGTTGTTGTTGTTGTTGTTGTTGTTGTTGTTGTTGTTGTTGTTGTTGTTGTTGTTGTTGTTGTTGTTGTTGTTGTTGTTGTTGTTGTTGTTGTTGTTGTTGTTGTTGTTGTTGTTGTTGTTGTTGTTGTTGTTGTTGTTGTTGTTGTTGTTGTTGTTGTTGTTGTTGTTGTTGTTGTTGTTGTTGTTGTTGTTGTTGTTGTTGTTGTTGTTGTTGTTGTTGTTGTTGTTGTTGTTTCAAATCTTTATTCTCACGATAGCCAGTGGCCAATAAGAGATGTTGTTGTTGTTGTTGTTGTTGTTGTTGTTGTTGATGTTGTTGTTGTTGTTGTTGTTGTTGTTGTTGTTGTTGTTGTTGTTGTTGTTGTTGTTGTTGTTGTTGTTGTTGTTGTTGTTGTTGTTGTTGTTGTTGTTGTTGTTGTTGTTGTGTTTGTTGTCGCCGCCGTCGCTGCTGTTGCTGTCATTGTCATTTTTGCTGCCGTATTCATTATTCTTACAATGTTCTAAGAATAATACCCGTGATCCACACAGGAGCACTACACCGGGTTTGCATTATGTATATGTAGCTCGCATTCATTGATGGTGCTTGTGTATTGGCATGGCACCCCCACCCCAAACCCCCACCCCCAACCAGCACCACCAGCGCCACCTAGAATTCAGCTATCACGTGTGCATATTTGTCACTAACTACGACACTCTACCTCAGTTTTGTCAGTCTGCTTTTGTGTCTGACTTTGCTCACGTGTCCAACTATTTTTTTGTATTTCTTTGTCTTGGGATTGGTCACGTCTTTGCTGTTATGTCTTGCTCTGCATGTCAGGTTTCCGTTCACCTACTTCACAGTACGGATTTGACGATTTGTAGATTTGCAAACGCTCACAGTGCCGTGCACAATAATGGTGTTCTTGGGCATGCTTCACACAATCTCTACATTGTGTCCTAACGAGAAGGCTTGAAAGTATTCTCGTGAAAACTATCAAGATGTTCGAGAACCTGACATGTGTTCTTCTCCTAAGTATTCTATTTTGTTTCTCTGTGTGTTTTCTTTGTGAATGTTGTCCTGTTTTGTTCTCCAGTGGAACAAGCTGTCCGTGGCAGTGGGAGCAGAAAAGCCGTTCGTACTGGTGCACGACGGAGCCCTGGTGGTCGTGTGGACCACGAACGGTCGCCTGGCACGCATACAGCAGACTGCCGATCTGCGCACGTGGCACGACATCGGCATGCCAACCGATCACCGCAGCATGGAGTTCTCTTCAGTGGCCTCGCACGACGCATGCCTCTACCTGCAGTGCTTTGACGGCGGACACTGGTCGTTCATTCTCAAGTACAACGAAGAACACGCGTACGCGAGCAGCGGGCAGTGGCAGAAAGTTGTCGATGTTCCGTTTGAAGGCCACCGTCGATGCACGTTGCAAGTCACCGACTCGGCAATCAGCCTCTTCGGCGGCTTTGGAGATCACTTTGAAACCACCGACAGCGTCACAGTCTACTCACGGGAGCAAGAGCAATGGAGGTCGTCTCTGAGAGTGCAATCCCAGCCGGCGGTGTGCGCTCTGCCTTGCTCCTGTGCCTGTGCGTCCATGGTTACCTGCGGAAATGGTGCACGGCGGTACCTGGTCGGTGGCGAGAGCGCTTGCTTCCTTCGCCATGACAGCGACGACGGAGACGGCGAGGAGGGCCAGTGGACGGCGGTGACCGGGCTAGACGGCGTGAATCTGGAGAGCAGCGCCGCGTGTGCACTGGCCAACGACTGCATGGTTGTGGTACGCTGCCGTAGTCCTGCAGCACGATGTGTTGTGTATCAGGCAGCGTCGACGGGCGGTGGTGGTAGTGGTGATCAACAGCATGACCTGCCAGTGCTGGAGTCCGATGTCACACACTACCCGTCAGTGGCACTGTTCAACGACCGCCTAGTGATCGGTGTGCTCATAGACGGTATCCACACACTGGATATGAGTCCTGTTTAGTCAAACAGACTGAAGCCACTTGTAGGGCTCAAAGACGGTATCCACACACTGTATATGAGTCCTGTCTAGCCAAACAGACTTTAGAAGCAGTGTGTGGGGCTTACTCAGCCTTGTGGCCAGCCTACAAGAGGCTGTGTTGTTCCTACTTCAGTATCTCTTAAACTGTCAAATCCTATAATTATAGGATTTTTTGAATTTTTTCAAATAATCACGACCATGCTTCCGCCCGGGATAAGTTGTGTGCCTAAAATGTATCGTAAGGTGGTAGGTAGGCACCGGCGGATAATGCCGGCAGAAAAATTGGCAGAATTCTCGGTACTTTCTCTGGTAAGTTTCATGCATGTTCGATATGTGGATAAAGAAATGGAGCAGAATTCGAGGAATTGCCCGCCATAAGGTTTGTATGGTTCTGCATTGTCCAGAGTGTCGTAATGGATGCATCTCTCCGGAGGTGTGTGTTCGAATCCCACCGCCGCCACCAATGTAGTAGCTGGCCCTCGGAGACAATTTCACACGCTCAAATAAAGCACTCACTCACAAGTTGTGGTTTTACGAATACTCGTAAGGACAGAATATTAGTTGCACACTCGGCAAGTAAAGATAAGAAGTGAAAGAGCACAAGAAAAGAACAATGCAAGAAGACAAAACACACGGCGAGCGGCAGCCATGTTTTAGGTCATTAACCAATCAGCAATCTACAAAAACCGGTCGCCGACGAAATTCTAGAAACATTACTGCGGCATAATTAACCAATCACAGTTCACAGCTCTGGAATATTCTAGAACAATAATACTAGCAGCCAATCACAGTTCACAACAGACAGTCATACGGGTAAAGTGGGGAAATACGGGTTTAGCCATACACGACTCATACATTACTCACGAGCGACTCACGGAAAGGGTAATAACATGCAGATACAAAATACGCAAGGAGAGAAAAATGTAACTAACTGCCCATCTTGGGGTTTGAACTTTGAACCTAGGAATCTGTATCAACACAAGCTCTACAAATAAATACTCTTTTACTGCGAAAAATATACTTTATATCAAAACGCAACTCCTTTAACCGTAAACTACAGCGGAAGCCGCGTTCGCCCCGAAAATTGGCCAATCGGCTTGAAATTTGGATTATTCCTACGGAAGTGTATGGAAAACAGTTCCAGACACCTCATGAAACCCATTTCATCAATTTGCATAGGTTGTGTAGTAAAAAAACTTCCTTCTGTCATGTACGCATGTACAGACTCAGCGCGAAGAGCTTTCGACAGCCGCTTCCGCAACTGCCCAGAGCATCAACGCACTGATCACGGAGTGCCGTCACGGCGTTGACATCATACTGAGCCACGAGAGAGAACTTCAACCTTGAACAATAGCAACTACAGTAAGATCGGGCGCCGAAGAACGCAGGGGCTCGAGCGCAGCCTAGGAAAGTTCTTAAATTTTTGATTCTAGCCAAACCATTCTTATTCACACGCGCGCGGCGAGTTGTGTGACGTCATGACGTTTGTCATGTACATTGGAAAGGCTTTCTGTCTAAAGCCTTTCCATACTGGTGCTCGATGTTTTCAGTTTGGGGACACCAAAATTAGTGTACCGCTAAAGACACGTGGTCGACACGTTGTTGACACGTTGTTGACACTTTGTTGACACGTGACCCAGTTACCGGCCTACCAAGTGCCTTTGGCGACCGCTAACAGCAACTGTGGAACAGTGCAGTGCCCTTTTTTGGAGCAACGTACGAGTAGTGCCCATGGATTATGACCCCGCGACCCCAATCTACGTGGCGGTCCGCAATTCGCTACTTCATACTGACTGGCGTCCGGCCTCGTCCCGAATTTGGCCACAATCTGCTCTCGGGACCCCTATAGGGCTCCCTGACCTGCTCCATCTCCGCCATCGTCAATGTACTGCGCATCCACCCAGGCCAGGACTGCACTTACTTACGAGAAGGAGTATTTGCAAGATGGAACCTGGGAACTGGAAGACGACGAAGAGGAAGCGTGGGAATCCGGCGGCAATGGCTGGGATGTAAGTCCAACATTGCTGGTGCCAGAGTTGCCACTGCTTGCTTATAAGGGAATCATGTGTGTTGCCTTTTTGCCTTTTCCGACGTCCTCCTCCGACTGTACTCCCGATCCCAGGACTGAACTTACGGGAAGGAGTGCTTCCAAGATGGGAGACGAAGAAGAAGAAGCCGCTGAATCCGGCGGCAATGGCTGGGATGTAAGTCCAACATTGCTGGTACTAGAGTTGCCACTGCTTGTTTATAAGGGATTCATGTGTGTTGCCCTTTTTTGCCTTCTCCCATGTTCTCCTCCGACTGTACTGGTGAACGCTGTCACATATGTTGCCCTTTCCAGGCAGTAGAAGGGAGGGGCGGGGGGGGGGGGGGGGGGGGGGGGGCAGCACATCCTGGCATCCAGGAATACTAGGCCCTAGGAACTAGGCAATCTGACCTTTCCTCTTACTCCAATAATGGTATGGATGGGGAGTTCTTGAGCATCCTCAGTCTTGTTAGAGTGAACTGTGCAACTCGGCAATCGGTGATAGCAGAGGACCAATGCCGATGGCGATGCTCCTTCCTTTTTCTCTGTCACAGGCTGCGTTCTCGAGAGGAAGCGTTATTTCTGCATTCCAAGAAGGACGGTACAATGGTGAGTGGAACCTCGTGGGTGTGCAGCCTTGCTAGTTGAATTGTAAATCAACCATTCTTCCTGTCTCTGACTTCTTCAATGTCCTCCTCAGTGTCGGACTGTCCGCGTCGCATTGAACTGGTCCGATGAGGCTGCTATTGCACACACAGTGTGGGCACTCCCACACGGGAACTCGGAAGTACTGCTACAGTACAGGTAAGGTGGCCATTGCTTATGTGCGTGCGCCGTTGTTGTCAACTTCTAAGCCAGCTGTACTCCAACCTACATGGAGTTTGAAAGTAGTCAGCTGGCGAACTACAATTGAAGTTTAGACGTTATATGCCGAGGCTTGGTCAGCTTTTTCAGTTTCACAATGCATTGCACTCAGCACCGCTTCTCGGAATATCTTGTCAGGATAGCTGTGGAATGCATCCTCCCCAGTGGGGGGACGGCAAATGTGCTGTTCATTTTTTAGGCTTGCTTTTATGGTACGTACAAATCCCCATTGAAAAGACATAGTGGAGACCAGAAACTGCAAATAGATGTTGGGGACCGCGAAGACCACCCTTCCTTGTCAAGTTCCCTGAGGGTGTGGAGGGGGGGGGGGGGAGCGGAGGAGGGACATTCCTGCACTGCTTAAAGCACGATTCACAGGAGCATTTTCAGAAATTGCTTGTACATTTGTACCAGTTGTAACCGACAAACGCATTCTCATTGAGCTTTGACTTGAGGCACGTCAGCAAGGCGCTGTTGCATCGCTGACGTCTTGTCGTGATTCTGTGAATGGTATTTTGTGCGAGTTTGCATCGCACGCAGAATCGCAGGTCGTGTCGCATTACGCAGCACACTGCCAAATTGCTTCTGTGAATCCCACGTGAATGGGAATTCCAATGGGAAGGTAATCCATTGCCAACAGGTGTATTCCCGAGCTGCGCATCATACTGCAAAATTTCTCCTGTGCATGCAAATGGATTTCATTGCTCTTCTGTAGTTTGGGAAATTCTCGATTATGATAATTCTGCGTGTGTGTGTACACCAGCCCTTAACATACATGTAGGTGACCCATTTGTGGTGTCTCATAGCCTACCTCACGACCTTATGCTTTCTTTCTGTATCACTTGTATCTTGCAGGTATATCACCCCGTGACGACCACATCGAAGTCTGAAATTGAAGTGTGAAGATGCTTCAGCAACCCCTTCATATTTTTCCATTGCTTTTATTGTGCTTCTACTGTGCATGTGTGTAACTTGTGGGGTATGCATGTGATGACAATGTATGCCGGTGACACAGTCAGATTTTGTCAATGCGTGTAACGTACACCTGCATGCTATCGTTGAAAAGGATCTGCCACTTACGATCTTCGGACGAGTATCAGGTCAGCTTGGTTTTGTGTGTGCTGTACCAGATGCTGTTCACTTCTCTATCTGTTGGATATGTGACTTTCTGCAAGTTTCTGGTGTATGGTGGCCACTTCTTTGCTTGTCTTTAAATGACATTACCATAATTCTGTATTCACTGCTTCCATGGTGTGGTCTGCAAACTGCAATCCTTAGGCAAATATCATCACGGTTTGCAATGTTGTGCTTTGGCCGCCAGCTTACCTACACATTGTAGTTGAATTATTTTTGTTTCACAACTGACTTCCTTAAGTATGGTGGCCACTGCTTTCCATGGCATTATACAATGTTCATCAAGAATTTCCTGTTTGGGTTGTGTGTGTGTATGTATGTATGTGTGTGCGTGCCCATGTGTGTGTGTGCCATGTGCATGTGCGTGTTTGTCACAAGGTGTCTGTGTGCGGGGTAGCAAGGTGGGGAGGGCTGGAATGTTTCAGTGTGCTACTGCAGTTGCATGGCTACATACAGTGCATCGCGCGCGTGCTCACCATGTTTATCTTCGGAGCTGGGGTGGGGTGGGGAGGGAACAGAAAAAGAACTGAAATTACCCATATAAAAACCGCTCTGTGAGCGGTTCTGAAAAACCTCTACTGGTGCAGCCCCGTCGTAAAAGTAAGAAATTAGAACTGGCGCATTGTCCTCCCAAATGTGAACTGATCCACCTAAATCGCGATTGACGGGACCCAAACGCACCAGTAGCACGAGGTCGGGAGGGCACAGGATCACAGCCGGCGTCGGCGCTGATCAAGTTACCATACAACACCCCGAAGCCCACCTTTGCCGCTTTGGCTTTGGCTATGGACCAGCGTCCCCAGCTGCATCCACAGGTAGGAACCTCGTGCTACTGGTGCGTTCGGGTCCCGTCAATCGCGATTTAGGTGGATCAGTTCACATTTGGGAGGACAATGCGCCAGTTCTAATTTCTTACTTTTACGACGGGGCTGCACCAGTAGAGGTTTTTCAGAACCGCTCACAGAGCGGTTTTTATATGGGTAATGTACATTGGAAAGGCTTCCTGTCTGAAGCCTTTCCATACTGGTACTCGATGTTCCAGTTTTGTGACACGAGAATGGCACGAGAATTAGTGTACCGCTGAGTGTACCGCTATACACGTGGTCGACACGTAGTCGACACCTTGTTGATACTTTTTTGACACGTGACCCCGTCAACGGTCTGCTTTGTGCCAATATTGCAATGCCACTCGGTAAACGCCGATGCCGCGTACGACAAAGACGACTATCCCGTACGCGAAATAGTTGAGAACTGCATGACGTGGACCTGACGGCAAGGACAACTGCGAGGAGACCCCTTTCGGTCGACGGGAAGGAGAACTGCATGCAGAAGTCGACGAAGTCGAACGAGGAGGCCCCTTTCCGTACCCCGTACTGCAAAGTGCCATTGATGGATGCCTTTTGCACCTGGAACGACCCCTTAAACGCTGTCGCGGCGACTATCCCGTACGCGAAATAGTTGAGAACTGCTGACGTGGACCTTTTGCACCTGGGACGGCCCCGTAAACGCTGTCGACGATGTCGTGTCGGCGGAGTGAATGTGCAGGGTGAAAAGAATTGCTGCAAAGACGTCCGCTCTAGGCCTTTGGAGACATCGTGGGAACTCCTTCCGGTACTATACAAGCTGCTGACGTGGCCGTGGACATGTACATGGAGACATGGTGGGACTTCATGTACATGGATACATGGTGGGAATTCCTTCCGGCACCCCCGTACCGCAAAGCCAACGGTGGGGAAGGAGAAGAGCAGACGTGCAGGAAGCTTCGAAGACGAACGAGGAGGAACCAGGACGAGCGAGCAATGGCAGGACTAGCTGGACCGTAAGTAGTAGCTGAATTGTGCATGACAACTTGACATCCGTGCGGCACTCGCCACTTGCCACTGCATATTATTTTCTTGTCCACTAACAATGTCTCTCCTCTGCCCCCTGTGTGTCCACGGCCCTGTTGCTGAATTGGCCCGATGAATCGAATGTCTTCCGCAACTGGAACGGCCCAGTAAACGATGTCGCGTCGGCGACTGAATGCGCTGGAGGGAAAATATTGCTGCGAAGACGTTTCCTCTAGACCACGGTAAGGCAACCCGTTGATATGTTGCAAGTTACCTTCTACTAACACGTTATCAGGTGGAGAGTGTCTTGTACTCACGTTATCAGGTCGAGAGCGTATTGTAGTCACTCTCTCTATTCCTGTACTTCATTACGTTTAAGGTGTACGTATAACTTCTCAAAAAAATTTAATGGTCTACAGTCGTGTCGGAAGGGTACGGTGGGACTGTAGACCTGTTACCTTCTAACACGTTATCACTATATCAGGTCGAGAGCGTATTGTAGTCACTCTCTCTATTCCTGTACTTCATTACGTTTCAGGTGTACGTATAACTTTTCCAACAAATTTAATGGTTCACGTCTTCAGATAGAGAGCGTATTGCACCCACTGTCTAGTCTCTGTAGTGCATTGAGATTTTGTTGATCGCACATGAAAATGGATACACAGGCAAAGCAGGCCAAGTACATGGCGAGATGTCGCCAGAAGAACGTCTTCAGATAGAGAGCGTATTGCACCCACTGTCTAGTCGATTTTGTGGATCGCACATGAAATGGATACACAGACAAAGCAGGCCAAGTATATGAGAGAGTGGACGATGTGCGGATCGACACGGCCTGCGGGTACTTCATTAAAGTTACCCGTGACATAACTAGGATAAAAGTTAATCACTGCAAAGACATTGCCAAGTATGTGAGCACTTTGGACTTGACAGAAGAGTGCAAGGGCGACGTTGACAAAACATACCGCGGTGACTGTCACCATCATGACAGCAGGGCACATCGCACGCAGCATCGCAGATCGTGTCGAATTGCGCATCATAATATTGCAAAATTGCTCCTGTGCATGCAAGTGGATTTCATTGCACTTCTCAGTTTGGGAAATGCTCGATTATGACAATTCTGCGTGTGAGTGCACTAGCCCTGAACATACATGTAGGTGACCCGTTTGTGGTGTCTCATAGCTAGCCCTTTCCCAAAGATGCTCGCCACTTTTTTCGGAACTTTTCGGTGTTTAGGAAGAAATCGCAACTTTCACAACTTTCTTCATTTTTCGGAACTATTTCGCAATTTCTCCGCAACCTTGGCGCAATTGGCCCCATGGCATGGGGTCGAAAGGTCAAGTCACCGACTACATGTTGCATTGTTGGACAAATACATACTCGTGCTCGCTCATTTCTCGCCTGCCTTCAGGCTCATTTCTGAGAAACAGTAGATCAACGGTAGTTACGATAATTATGTGCATTCCCTTTTCCGTGCACTGTAATGATGTACATGTACATGTAGGATACATGCAACAGGCTACTGGCACTGTGTAAAATGGTGGTTCACAGCAGGAAGGGGTGTACGAGTTTGCTGTCGCAGCATCGCTGCATTTCTGCTATTTCTGCTCCCTGTTTTGTAGGTTTTGCACAAGAACTCTCCAATTTTGAGTTGCGATGTTGGCAACTTTTGAGCTTTTTCTGAAAATATGGATGCGATTTCAGCAACTAGCACTTGTTTTGGCACGGTTGCGAAAAGCATAAGTTGCGAAAAACTATGGCATCTTTGGGAAAGGACTACTCATAGCCTACCTCACGACCTTCTGCTTTCTTTCTTCATCACTTGTATCTTGCAGGTATATCATCCCGTGACGACCACATTGAAGTCTGAATTTGAAGTGTGAAGATGCTTCAGCAACCACATCGTACTTTTCCATTGCTTTCATTCCTTCTGCTTTCTTTCTTCATCACTTGTATCTTGCAGGTATATCATCCCGTGACGACCACATTGAAGTCTGAATTTGAAGTGTGAAGATGCTTCAGCAACCACATCGTACTTTTCCATTGCTTTCATTGTGCTTCTACTGTGCATGTGTGTAACTTGTGGGGTAAACATGTGATGACATTGTATGCTGGCGACACGGTCAGATGTTGTCCATGCGTCTAACGTACACGTGCATGTTATGCATTGAAAAGGATTTGCCACTTGCGATCCTGGGACGAGTATCAGGTCAGCTTTGTCCTGTCTGGGCTGTATCAGATTGCTGTTCACTTCTCTATCTGTTGGATGTGTGACTTTCTGCAAGTTTCTGGTGTATGATGGCCACTTCCTTTCTTGTCACTTTGTATGATATTACATTCTGTATTCGCTGCTTCCATGGCGTGGTCTGCAAACTGCAATCCTTGGGCAAATGTCATGTTTGCTATGTTGTGCTTTGGCCGTCAGCTTGTCTACACGCTGTAGTTGAATTATTTTTGTTTCACAACTGACTTCCTCAAGTACGGTGGCCACTGCTTTGCATGGCATTATATATGAAGAATTTCCTGTTTGTGTCGTGCGCATGTGCGTATGTGTGCGTGGCCACGTGTGTGTGCCGTGTGCATGTGCGTATGTGTGCGTGGCCACGTGTGTGTGCCGTGTGCATACGCATGTTTGTGTATCTGTGTGCGGGGTAGCGAGGCGGGGAGGGCTGGTATGTATCAGTGTTTTATTGCAGTCTCATGGCTACATACAGCACATCGCGGGTGGTCATCATGTTTATCTTCGGGGTTGGGGTGGGGAGGGAACGGAAAAAGAACTGAAATTATCTATATAAAACCGCTCTGTGAGCGGTTCTGAAAAACCTTTACTGGTACTGCCCCGTCGTAAAAATAAGAAATTAGAACTGGTCCATTGTCCTCCCAAATGCGAACTGATCCACCTAAATCGCGAATGACGGGACCCGAACGCACCAGTAGCACGAGGTTCCTACCTGTGGATGCAGATGGGGACGTTGGTCCGGACCAAAGGCCATGTACTGTACTAGCGGTAGGTGGTGTTACCCTATGATAATTGCTGTCCTGTGCCCTCCCGACCTCGTGCTACTGGTGCGTTCGGGTCCCGTCATTCGCGATTTAGGTGGATCAGTTCGCATTTGGGAGGACAATGGACCAGTTCTAATTTCTTATTTTTACGACGGGGCAGTACCAGTAAAGGTTTTTCAGAACCGCTCACAGAGCGGTTTTATATAGATAATGTACATGTAGTGCAATGTAGTGTACTTCTAAACTAGTGGGTGTCGTAAATGGGAATGACTGTACATGTAGCAGTTACTGTTTACACGTGTACATGACATGTACTCACCTCCCATACATGTACAATGTAGATCTACGTGCAAATTTTTAAAAGTGTTCTTAAATCTGATAATTCTAGCCTGGACTGTTCTTAAATTTTGCCGGTTTTCCAGCCTGGGTGTTCTTCGGCGAGGTGTTCTTCGGCGCCCGATCTTACTGTACTCGGGACTCTGACAGCCGGCCTGCTGAAAGCACCTTGAACACCAACATCCGCAACGGCAACGAACAAGCCGCACAGCTCCCAGCGCTAGCAGTGGGCTTCCCCTCTCAGTCACAAGAAACCAGGAGCGACTCACAGCCTATGGAACCCACAAGTCAATCTGTGCACTCTGCCCACTTGAGTGATGTGATATCTGAGCAAGCGTTGTACAAACGCGTCATAAGTTGTTATCTTATTACTTACGTTGCCTGCATGCATATGCGCATGCCCGTTGTTTTGTTGTCTTGTCTTGCTCTGAACGAGTGATATACAAGTCTTGAGTTTTCCCTATCTGACAAGTGTGTCTTGGTCTTGTGTAGTGCCTGGGTTGCATGTAACAATTTGGCGACGAAGACAACGTCCTGCGCGATGGAGGGAGATCGTGACCGTCTTCCACCATTCGACACGTCCGGACCCCCATCTCAAGTGGCTCTGAGGTGGACAAAATGGGTTCGAGCCTTTGACTATTATCTGACGGGAAAGGACATTACGAACAAGAAGCGTTAAAAAGCACTGCTCTTGCACTTCGCGGGTCTAGAAGTTCAGGATTTATTCGAGGACCTATCCGACCCAGATGACAGCCTTCCACCAGATCAGAGAACACAGAATGACAATGAGTTCCTCAAGTGCAAGCGCACCTTGCAAGCTCATTTCGGTGCTCCTGCAAACCCTACGTATGAGAGGCACGTCTTCCGTCAGCTCACTCGCCGGCAGGGAGAGTCCACAGTGCAGTACTGCACCAAGCTTCGGCAGCAAGCTCGGCTTCGTTCTTTCGAGAATGAAGGACAAACTGCGGAAGCTATACGTGACCAGATCGTAGCCACAGTCGACAGCAGTGAGCTGAAGAAGAAGCTCCTGTCAGAACCAGCCCTGACTCTGCCACGAGCGTTGGAAATGTGCAGAATTTGGGAGGACGCCCAGTCCCAGTCGGAAGGAATGTCCTCAACCACTTCTACTTCGTCTGGTACCGGTTATACCGGGAGTAGTAGTATGCTTGTCAATGCCGTGCACCACCGAGACCAGAGTCACAGGCAAGCTGGACGGGGTGGATTTGTGCAGTCATCGCGTGGCCAGTCACGTAAATGCGGTGGATGTGGAGACCAGTGGCACGAGAAGCGCGAGTCATGCCCAGCTTGGGGCAAGTCGTGCCGGAAGTGTAGGAAGCCAAACCACTTGGCCAAAGTTTGCCGTTCACAGCAGTCCAGCACTGGTGGCAGTGTACACATGGTTGGCCAGTCTCAAGAAGTACATGGAACGTTACGTCGCCAGTCGACCCTGCTCTTGCTCCAAGTCATAGTGCAAGTGCTGGTACTGGTGCGAGTGTTGCATCCGGTCCTACAACTGCAAGTCCGTACAGCAGCGGCCTGGACAAGTACTATTCGTTGTACCGCACGCAGAGTGACAAGGACCGCGTGGACCCGTACTGTTGTACCCTCCAGTTATGTAAACAGCCAGTCGTGTTTGAAATCGACACGGGTGCAGCCGTGACGGTGATGTCTGAAAACGAATTTCATCGGCTGGCATCCAAGGTCAATTTCAGTGTCGCTCGACACAAGTGATCTGCCGAAGCTGCGTACTTACTCCGGCGGAATTCTGAATGTCGTCGGTCGCTTTAGTGCTTCTGCGACCCATGCTTCTCGTAAATCAGCAGAATTGTCGATCGTCGTTGTCCAAGGAAACGGACCAAATCTCCTGGGTCGCGACGCGTTGCAACTGCTGAGGTTGAATTGGAACTTCGTGTTCAACGTGTCACGCGAGCACTCGATATTGTCAGAGTTCCCGCAGCTCTTCCAACGTAGCATGGGCACCTGGCAACATGGAAAAGTCAAATTGTCCGTGGCAGACAGCGCCAGACCCCGGTTCCTGAAGGCACGCTCTGTTCCTTATGCGTTACAAGCAGCAGTGGAAAAAGAGCTGAGTCGACTGGAGGAAGCTGGCATCATTAGTCCTGTCCAGTATTCGGAGTGGGCAGCTCCAATCGTACCCGTTCTCAAGCGGAACGGTAGCATACGAATCTGTGGCGATTATAAATGTACTATCAACCAGTCGGCAAGAGTAGACAAGTACCCCTTGCCCAACATCGACGACTTGTATCAGAAGTTATCGCAAGGCGCATTCTTCTCCAAGCTTGACCTGAAACATGCTATCAACAACTGTTGCTCGACGACGAGTCTAAGCTGCTGACGACAATCAACACCTCCAAAGGATTGTTCGTCTACAACCGCCTACCCTTTGGCGTGTCGGCGGCCCCGGCAATATTTCAGCGCACGATGGAACAATTGTTAGCAGGTCTGTCCTTTGTCGTAGTGTATCTCGACGACATTGTTGTTTCTGGAAAGACTCGTGCGGAGCATGATGAGAATCTGAGGCTGGTCCTGGATCGTCTAGCGTCCGCGGGTCTCAGGTTGAATCGTGAGAAGTGTCTCGTGGCTCAGCAGTCTATTGAGTTCCTGGGCCATGTTATTGGTTCAGTCGGCATTAGGCCGTCGGCTGAGAAAGTGGATGACCTTGTGAAGGCCCCACAGCCCAAGAATGTCCCTGAACTGAGAAGCTTTCTGGGACTCATAAACTATTACCACAAGTTCATCGAGAATCTAAGCTCAGTGTTAGCTCCATTGTATGAATTGTTATCATCAAAGTCGTGGTGTTGGTCTGATAGTCACCAGAAAGCGTTTGATACAGGCAAGACTCTGCTGCTTTCTGAGCCGATACGTATTCATTATGATCCTAGTTTACCTATTGTCGTGTCCTGTGACGCTTCCCCGTATGGTGTTGGCGCAGTTCTGTCGCATGTTCTGCCAGATGGGTCTGATCGGCCAGTAGCCTTTGCATCTAGAACGCTGTCGTCTTGTGAGAAGAATTACTCGCAGCTTGATCCTGAGGCTTTGGCAATGGTATTTGGCGTCTCCAAGTTCCACAAGTACATCTTCGGTCGCAACTTTACACTACAAACAGATCATAAGCCACTGCTGGGATTGTTTGATCCTGATAGACCCATTCCTGTTCAGTCTAGTGGTCGTATTCAGCAATGGGCACTCAAACTAGCCAATTATGAATTTGTTCTGGAGTACAAGCCTGGGAAACAGAACGGTTGCGCTGATGGGTTGAGTCGCCTCCCCAATCCGGCGCTGGTACCGGAACCGCCGCAGCCAGCCGAGGCTGTACTATCGCTATCCGTCTTGAACACTACACCGGTTACGTCTGCATCGGTTGCTCGCTGGACGAGCAAAGATCCGTCCCTGGCATTAGTATACAAGTTCGTGTCTGAGGGCTGGGCCCCAAGACATTCCAGAGGGATTAGAGCCATATTCCCGTCGTCCTAGTGAGCTGTCTGTCTTGAATAACTGCATCCTAATTGGTTCCAGGGTAGTTATTCCTTCACTGGTTCGTGCACCATTGCTGGACGAGTTGCACGCCGGTCATCCCGGTATCGCTAGAATGAAAGCCCTGGCACGCAGCTATGTCTGGTGGCCGTCTCTCGATGCAGAAATCGAACAGACCGTCCGTGGTTGCACGCAGTGCCAGACCGTCACCAAGTCGCCGCATCGCCAGCAAGTCCACCCATGGGAATGGCCTGGTAAGCCTTGGTTACGTGTCCATGTTGACTTTGCTGGACCCATCGCTGGTAAGGTGCTCTTCATTATTGTCGATAGTCATAGTAAATTTATTGAAGCACATGTTTGCTCTGGCTCATCTGCTGCTGTCGCAATTCGCAAGCTGGAGCAGACCTTTGCTCTGCTTGGCTTACCTTATAATATTGTTTCTGACAATGGCCCTGCTTTTGCAAGTAGTGAATTTCGTGAGTTTTGCTCATCTAATGGCATACGTCATACTCTCGTTTCACCATATCATCCGTCTAGTAATGGCTTAGCCGAGCGCGCAGTACAGACGGTGAAGTCTGGCTTGGCCAAGATGTCTGGCCCTGATTTGGAAACCCGCCTTGCTAGGTTCCTGTTCCAATACAGAATGACGCCGCAGTCAACAACGGGTCGTTCTCCGTTTGAGCTACTTTGGAAGGAACATCGTCCCCGCTCACGTCTGGATCTCGTGTTCCCGGACAGCGGCAAGAAAGTCTTGGACAAACAGTGCACTGCCCATGATCGTGGTGGTGCAAATGCATACCAGTTTTATTGTGGTGATGCCGTCTGGGCAATGAATTTCAACTCCTCACCGAAGTAGATAGCTGGCATCGTGGAAGAACAGCTTGGTCCTCTAACATTCACGGTTCGTCTTGTTGATAACAGAGTCTGGAAGCGTCACTCTGACCACCTGAAGAAACGCCTTCCTGCTGAGTCGGTGCAAGATGCTTCAACTGCTACGTCAGCACCACGGCTTCCATATTCCAGAGCTTTACCTTCTACCACAGCTCTACCGTCTTCAACTGCTCTACCTAGTGTTCCGCCGAATGAGTCTATGTCACTGCCTGGCTCAATTGTACATGATGAGATCCGTGAGAATGCTGATTTATCTGTTCCTGAATCTACTTCTAACCAGTCTAGTGGTTCTAGTCCTGTCGTGTCTATGCGCAGTTCTTCTCGTTCTGTAAAGGCTCCTGTCCGTCTTGATCTGTAGTTCGTCTTATCAGATTATTTGCTGCCACGACACAGTCTATGTATTTCTGTTATTCTGGTCGTTTCCATCTGATGGTGGAGGGATGTGATATCTGAGCAAGCGTTGTACAAACGCGTCATAAGTTGTTATCTTATTACTTACGTTGCCTGCATGCATATGCGCATGCCCGTTGTTTTGTTGTCTTGTCTTGCTCTGAACGAGTGATATACAAGTCTTGAGTTTTCCCTATCTGACAAGTGTGTCTTGGTCTTGTGTAGTGCCTGGGTTGCATGTAACAAGTGAGGCGAACACCACTGTTCCGCAGGACTACACCACGCTAGTCCATAAACATTGAAACTGTGATGGATCGTAACTACACACTGGGTTCTTCGATATAACCAAAACGCAAACGTGCTATTCGTGAGTAAAAGCAAAAGTGTACGGTATTATATGTGACCAAAAAGATACAGTGAAAGAAAAGCCTAGCAAAGCATTGCAAGGCACGTTGGTTCGGCTGCGTTGGTTCAGCTGCACGCTAGTGCAAACATGCAGATCGACAATGTTGGGCGGAAACCAAACACCACAACATTGCCAGAAACTAACTTGTTCACACCTACATACAATCATGAGTCCATACCGTGTCTGGTCTGGTTTGTTATGTTAGCAACCTAGAATGCATTGAACACATGGATTCGATCACAGGCGCCTACACGTCTACCTCAAATGTCTAAGTACCGTGAAAATGGATGAATACAAACCAGCAAAGCGCCATAATGCTGTAGGGCATGCACATAGAATCGGTATGGCTCGTCTAGCCTGCAGTTACCTAAAGTACCATACATGCACAGAACAATGCATCCAATAGTCCGTGTCCAGACACACTATCTAATGTATAGTCAAGGAGAGCCTCGTGAACATCCTCCCCCTCGAATACGCGATGAGTTACCTCGCAGCGTATTCCACTACTACCTAGCTTACAATTGCATGTGTTGTACCTCTATCGGTCTAATCACTGCGTGGCAAAACGATGTGGTAAACATAAAAATGATAACACTGTGGTGCTTATGTGATATGCCTGCAATGTATGCTGCATCTATTGAACTACTGCTTCTGTCTTACTTGTGTTACCACCATAACTGAATACGTACAGATCTAGCTGCCATCTTCTCTATGCATCTAGCGGGCAGATCTTGGTGATGGGACGGGTGATTCGCTTCCCGCCGACTTGCACCTCCACAACACGCACGTGACCATCTGGGCCCGGCTTGGTCTCCATGACGCGTCCGAGTGGCCAGTGCCCACGTGGTGCATCCGGTTGCAATACCAAGACGATGTCTCCTGCCGCCACGTCTCTCCGTTCTTTTAGCCACTTCCGTCTCGCGTTGAGAGTCGGCACCCACTCCTTGAGCCAGCGCCGCCAGAACTGCTTCACCACGTCTTGAACTTGCCGCCATCGCTGGTTGGGGTGGAAACCTGTGGTGTCTACGCTTTCTGGGGCGAACTGACCGCCCATCTGACCCGTCAGAAAGTGGTTCGGCGTTAGCGGCGAGCTGTCGTCAGGGCTGGCCGACTGGTACGTGAGCGGTCTGCTGTTCATAAGGCTTTCGGCGTTCGTGAGCGCAGTTGCCAGCATCTCATCCGTCAGGTCAGCATTGCCGAGAACTGCCTTGAGGGCGCGTTTCGCCGCCTTAACCATTACTTCGTGGACTCCGCCGAAATGCGGGGCTAGCGGCGGGTTGAATTTCCAAGCCACCCCACGGTTGGCCAGGGACTTGAAAACTGCGTCGTTATCCAGAGCCTCCACCAGTTCCCTCAGCTCACGATCGGCTGCCACGAAATTCGTCCCATTATCTGAAATGATCTCCAGCGGTTTTCCACGGCGCGCGACCATCCTTGAGAACGCGTTAAGAAACGAGCTGGCGTCGAGGCCGTAGCTCATCTCGAGGTGTACGGCTCGGGTTAGCAGGCAGGTGAAAACGCAGAGGTAACGTTTGGCTTGGCTGCGTCCTCGCCCTTGTTTCGTTAAGTATGGGCCGCCATAGTCTACCGAGGCTCTAGCGAAGGCTCTCAACGGTGTAGCGAGCCGGACCTTCGGCAACGGCGCCATAACTTGCTCTGCCGTCCTGGCTTTGCGACGTCGGCACACCATGCATTCAGCTTCCCACTGGCGTATCTCCTTTCGGGCAGACTCCAGCCAGAACCGTTCTGTCAATGCCGCGAGCGTCTCGTTCGTGCCACCATGCTGTCGCAGCTCGTGGTGGTGCTTCACGATTAGCGACGTAACTTCATGTTTCCGGGGTAGAATGATCGGGAAGCGCGTGCTGTACGGGAGCCAGTCAGCTAGGCGGGTGCGGCCGTCACAACGTAGTAGGCCATCCTCATCCAGTCGCGGACACATCTTTGCTAACCGCGATGCTGCTGGCAGAGTCTTCCCCTTCTTCAGTGCGCTGATGTCGTCACCAAATGCATCCTGCTGCGCTCCGTAGATGATGGCAAGTTCCGCCGCTTCCAACTCTTGGATGTTTAGCTCTCCGCTGACGCGGTCCCCTTGTCTGCAGTTATTGACGAACCGGTTGATCCATGCCTGAACTCTCACAAGTCTCGTCCAGTTGGAGTAGCGGCTTGGTTGCACGACGGTGATCTGCTGCGTCACGAATGCGCTCTCAGACGCCTGCACAGCTGCCTTGCGAACTTCCGGGTCGTCGCTCAACCCCGAAGTATCCTTTAGCTCCGTGGCTGGCCAGGTTGAGCCGTTGCTCAAAAACGCCGGTCCTTGCCACCATAGGTCTGCGTTGACCAGGTCGTTGACGCAAGCTCCTCGTGATGCCAGGTCAGCTGGGTTCTGTCCCGTAGGGACGTAGCGCCACTGTCGCGGTGCGGTACGCTGCTGGATGTAGCTGACGCGATTCGCGACGAATGGTTTGAACCGCCGACTGTAGCTACGAATCCAGTGGAGGACCGTCGTGCTATCGCTCCAGAAGGTGACAGTACTAAGTGGCACGTCGAGCACTTTACTCATTCGAGTGGCAACCTGATGGCCGAGAACTGCCGCCATGAGCTCGAGCCGGGGAATGCTGGTAGCGGCGGTGGGCGCGACACGACTCTTCGACACGAGGAATCTGCACTCCGCTGTTCCATCTTCGCGCACACTTCTCGCATACAGAACAACTCCATAGGCTTCGCTGGACGCATCGCAGAATGCATGCAGCTCGAGCTTGCCGGTCGATGCTTCAAATTGACGCGGGACTCGGACGTTGCTGAGCTCGCTCAACTCTTGGAACCATTGCTGGGCTTTATCAACTATCGCGTCGGGAAGTTGCTCGTCCCAGTCGACGCCACTCATCCAGCATTCCTGCATCAGCATCTTGCCTCGAACGACGAACGGCGATATGAAGCCGAGTGGGTCGAATACGGCTGCTGTCCGCTGCAAGAGGTAGCGCTTTGTGATACGCTTGGGCAGATCCGGTTGCTGCACGCGGAACGTGAACTCGTCATCGAGGGCAGACCATGTCACTCCGAGCGTTTTTACCGATGGTAGGTCTCCCACCGTCAGGTCGACATCCGCTGCGCGTTCTTCTTCTGGGATCGTACTCAGCAACGCAGTCGAGTTGGATAACCACTTTCTCGGTCGCATGCTTGCCTTCCCCCACAGCTCCATTAGGTCGTCATGGAGCTTGGTACCGTCGGCGACCGTGGCAGTACTGTCCATCGTATCGTCCATGTACGTACTGTCCAGGATGGCCTCTGCTGCTGATCGGTGGGTATCGACGCTTGCGTCCGCGACTTGGCGGGCGACATACTGAGCCAAGAATGGCGACGCGTTTACACCGAAGACTAAGCGGTTGAACTGGTACTTCTTGACCGGACCATCGGAGGCCGGGTCCTGCCACAAAAAGCGGTGGTACGGCCTGTCCTCGGGGCGTATTGAAACTTGCAGATACATCTCTGCTACGTCGCAGGCAACGGCGATGGGCTTTCTTCGGAACCGGGTGAGAACATCGCAAAGGTCTCGCTGCAACTTCGGGCCGGCGTGGATGGCGTCGTTAAGTGAGATGCCGTGGTAGGAGGCGGCTGCGTCAAACACAATCCGGACCTTAGTTGTCGTCTTCTGTGGCCGCACAATGGCGAAGTGTGGCAGATACCAGCATTGGTCGGTAGGCGCTTCGTCAGTGACGTCGGTGATATATCCTTTCTCGAGGTAATCTTGGATCACTCTGGCGTATGCTCGGGCTACTTGCGGTTCACGTTGCAGTCGTCGACGTGTTGACTCCAGCCGCTTAGTCGCCATATCAACGTTGTTGACTAACTCCGCCTTACGACTGTTCCATGGTATCGATACTTCATACCGGCCGTCTACTAGCCGCGTGGAGTCTTCCACTAATTTCACCGCTGCGGCCTCGTCTGCCGATGTTGGTCCTGGAGCCGCATTGTCCGTCTCGACGCCACAGCTGTCGACCTTCCAGAACTGTTGCAGGGCTTGCTCGACTCCTGCAATTGACTTGTCTCCACCGACGTAGTACGAACGGTTGGGCTGTGGGCCCTGCGTCTGCTTGGAGTTGGGTGCTCTGAGCTTCCCTACGCAGGTCCATCCGAGCGGTGTTAACCTAGCGACGGGTTGCCCAGGTTCA